AAAAATCCATTTGCCATCCCCTTTAAATATATATATATATATACAGTGGGGGAAATAAGTATTTGACCCCTCGTTGATTTTGCAGGTTTGCCCACTTACAAAGAATGCAACGATCTATAACTTTAATCATATGTACATTCTAACAGTGAAAGACAGAATCCCAAAGAAAATTCCAGAAAATCACATCATATGAATTTATAAAAATTGATAACCATCTGATGAGGAAAAACAAGCATTCTTTATAAGTGGGCAAACCGGCAAAATCAGCAAGGGGTCAAATACTTATTTCCCCCACTATATATATATATATATATATACATATATATATATATATAATCCCCCCCCCAATAGCCCATCCATCCTTTTTCTATACATCCTTTTTCTATACATGCTTAATCCAATTTATGGAGCCTAACCCATTTATCTTTGGATGGTGGGCGGACACCCGGTTCTTGACTCGGTTTTCTGAGATAAACTAAACAACCACACACACTCTCTTACACACATCCTCCAAAAGGTCCATTTAGAACCACCGGTTCATGTAAAAATGAAGTTTGTGGAGGTAGCTTAGAAAGCAGAGCACATGGAGAGAACATGCTAAATGGACTCGGTAGGCCCAAACTCAGAGTGGAGTCTGATCTCCAGTTTTCCCAGACAGTCGTATTCTGTTTCTATTGGATTTGTTTAATTTATATTTGTACCTTTCTGGAAGAAACAACAAAAAAAAACTCCAAAAAATCAAATTTAAACTGTAGGACCTTTTTTGTTCAACAAGAAATCAGCTCATTGAAAAATGTGTGTGCTCTCTTTACCTGTGGTTCTTTGCAATTTGTTGTTTTTTCTTCTCCTTTTATATTGAAACGATTGTTGGCTCCTCCAGGCTTTGGCGGACTAAAGCTGACTTCCAACAAACCAACAGTATTAAATCAGCTCAGGACTTCCTCTCTGGGTCCTGTGTGCTGTTTTCCTTTTGGAGGGCCGCACAGCTGCCCGTCTGGGCTGGACTTTGTGCTTCTGTGGGTTAGTCTCTGGGAGAAACACGAACTCAGAGGATTTTTAAATGTTATTTGGCTGTTTGGTGGCACTTTCAGTTCCAGTGTCCTTCAGCCTCCATTTGAGGAGAGAACCGGCCTCAAATTCTAACTAAATCATTGACATTATCACTTATTTATGTTTATGTTTATGCATTTGGCAGACGCTTTTATCCAAAGCGACTTACAGAGTAATTTCAGACCCATATATAAATACATATAGTTACTTATGTATATATTTATATTCTGTGTGGAATTTTTGTATATATATACAGTGGGGGAAATAAGTATTTGACCCCTTGCTGATTTTGCAGGTTTGCCCACTTACAAAGAATGCAACGATCTATAACTTTAATCATATGTGCATTCTAACAGTGAAAGACAGAATCCCAAAGAAAATTCCAGAAAATCACATCATACGAATTTATAAAAATTGATGAGGAAAAATAAGCATTCTTTGTAAGTGGGCAAACCTGCAAAATCAGCAAGGGGTCAAATACTTATATCCCCCACTGTATATATATATATGTAGAGATGTATATATGTATATGCTGTTGTTGGTAACATAAAAACTTCCCTCTGGAATTATCAAACTATTTCTGATTCTGATTTCAGAGCTGATTCGGCTTAACCGCTGTGACAAATGGGAATCAACTCTTCCTCTTTTGCATAAGCTGCTTATTTTTCCAGGTTTGCAGAAGTGTTTGAGCTGGTACCCACAAACATTCTGCTCTTCAACTTAGTATTCAAGCAGTTTTAACTCCGTGAACTTTGCGACTCCGCTAACCTTTTGCACGTCGACGTAAAGCAACGAGTGGGTGCAAAAATCTCCTACTGAGTCGGGATAGTTATTTCTTAAACATTATTTATCGATTCACAACCTTGAAAAATCTGATCTTAAGCATGTTTGGGAAAGTTCGCTTCCCACACAGCCTTCTAGTTTCTTTACTAAATATTTTATGAGCTGTGATGAGGCAGAAGCATCCGTGCTCCAAATGTTGGATCTCCAAATAGAGATTTCATCATAAAGGAGATGGAACAAAACAACACACTGTAACAGTTATTGTCACTTCTCTGTTTTTCTGTTAAACGACATAGTCTCTGCCACATTTTTGCTCTCAAAAGAAGCTTTTAGCCCCAATTCCTGAAATATCTGCCATAATTCTGTCACTGGGATTTTTCAAACCCCCTCCCCTGCTCTTTTACTGCCCCCCCCCCCCATTCAGGGCTCTCCAGGGCAGGCACGTGCAGAGGGGGGTGCTAAGGGGGCTTGAGCACCTTTTTTTTGTTTTTTTGTTTTTTGTTTTAATTTGAATTTTTTTGATTTGACACATGTACTGAAATCATTATCATCATCTTTTTTTTTTTTTGCAATAAAAACACAATAAGCCCTCTGGTCACACTAAAAGGTTGCATTGTGCCCTTGTATGCATTTTTAACTAATTCTAATTTTAATTCTATAAAGACAAAATATGTTTGGTGGTTCAGCTCTGATTTACATATTTTGCTAAATTGCAGGTTTGAATTTTGTGATACTTTCCTATAACAAAATAGACCTGCAGAAATAAATTAATAATAAAACATTTTACATATGCATAGTTCTATGTTCTATGTAGAGATTTTCCTTAACTCTGATTGTATGTCTCACAATTTTGTAATTTATCATTGTTCATTAAACTCTGAAAGCTATGTGACTTTGTTAATATTCTGTCCTAAAATGCGATTAGATGTCCCCTTTTTTTTTTTTTTTTGTTTTGATCACCTGCACCTTTAGTGGTCTCTACACGGCCCTGCTCCAGGGCTTCTCCACAGCCCAAAAAAAGAGTCCTTCCAACTATTTTATCATTATAAATGTGAGAGTTTAAAAAGATTTGTCGTATTTTCCTCAATCACCTCTCACAACTTCTCCATTACTGGATATTTCTTTGCTTCCACAGTGGGTTCAAATAGATTCTGAAATCAGATCTCTTTTGTAATGAATCAAGCCGATTTATTGTTAGATGATTTGATACCTGAGGATCCACTCTGACAACAAACCGAAAGCATGGGGAAAACAACCAGAACTAGTTAGGGGCTCTTTATGGTCCCTCTGGGACTCTGATTGCAGCCGTTTGATTTCCTCTACATCCAGCTTTGCTTTTTTCCCTTCTTCTGAGACCCCAAAACCACACGCAAACAAATCAGATCACGCCGGGTGCAACAAGGCCTTAATTTCCTCGTATTCCTGGAGGGAGTGGAACTTGAGCTTGTAGAAGAAACTAGACACAACACTTTCATTTAAAAAAACGCATAAAAATCACTGCAAAAAACAATTAAATTTAATATACGTAACTTTAAGCAAATCAGATCATCGATGACAATATGTTCTGCTAAAATGTTCCTACACTCAATGATATTTTCACACACAGACTACTGCATCACAACCTACTCACTCACTGGAGACACAACTTTAAAACCAATAAAAATATTATTCAAAAAAATCTTTAAAAATCTTTGATCAAAAGCCCCTGTCATTTCCATCAGTGTAATATTTTGGAAAAATATAATATGCTCAGTTTTGAAAACTTTATTCATTATAAAAAATAGTTGTTTAATTTACAAAGTTCTGAATGGATTAGCCCCACCTCCACTTTCTACCTACATCAGGGAATGTCCCACTTTTTGCACATTTAAAAAGCACCTTAAACTGTTTCTCAAAAGACATGCACTCACTAATTTTAATTTTGTAATGTCATCGTCTGAACGTGTGTTTGGACTGATTTTGTATTTTGTGATTTTGTGTTGTTTTTGTCTTCCTGCCTCAGGACGACAGATGCAAATTAGCAACTATGCTAGAATCTGGCTCATTTACAATCTGTATGAGATTGTTCATTAATGTGCACTGTCCTGATTAAACAAATAAAATATAGATATAGCAGGGGGGGCCGGGACTAAATCCTGGAGGGGAGGGGGCCCGTGGGGGTTGAGCAGGGCTAATTACAGAACCAGGAGGCCGACCGGCTGTTAGCAGGGACGCTAACAACGTTAAGAAAAAGGGAGGAATGCTCGCCTGTGAGGGTTCAACATGTCTGGGTTGTAATAATGCATGAAGGGAATCAAAGACCTGAGTCCTTCTCAGGTGTCCGTGTCCCAGAATAGCCTAATTAGGATGAATTATTGATCTGAGTTATTTTTTTTCGAAGCAGTTTCAGAGAGGTTTTTCACTGTTTCACTGAGGGACACGAGCATTTATGACCCATTCCAACTAACTTAGCATCTCACTGCGTTTATTTGAGGGTTTATTTTTAGTTAGGAACTAAAAAGCCAGTAACTCAGAGTAGCTTCTGCTCTAATGTCACCAGCCTCCAGCCTCCATGGACATGGACAACACACGCACCATAGTTTAGCTTTGTCTTCAACTCAATTGTTTCTTTTTGCAATCAACTCAGTGCAATATTCATTGATGTTTCTTTTGTGCAATAATATGTATATATATGCTCTTACCCTGTATATATCTAGCTCTTAGATATAGAAAACATATTTATTAAGTAGGAATAAGGTCTTAGCTCTGTCACACTGGTAGCCAAGAAATCGACATTTCGTTGTCAAGATTCACCTTGTGTTTTTTGTACAATGACAATAAAGGAAGTCTAAGTCTAAAGGAAATTATCTGTTCTATCCCACTGTTCTATGTGGAAGCAACTTCCAAAGCAACGCTTCACTGTAAATAGCGCCGAATTACAACAAATGTCCTCTCACGGCATGCCAAAGGTACAGCTGTAGTCCACTTAAAATGGAATTGAATGTAAAACAATCGCAATCCAATAAAATCCAACTAATTCGATTTCAAATCGGCCCGATTTGTGTAGAGTCGGCTCTAAATTGTTGCCTGGCTGAAAAAACCAAGTGTACTGAAAATTGGCCGGTTATTTACTAACCCTAACCCTGACGTGAACGGGCCAGGTCCTAATTAATGCAGGTAACCTTTGAATGTGGTATCAAAGTTTGTGTGTTGACCTAATGACATGTGTCTAATCTTACAGAGAAAGATCATTATTAATTATCAATATCAAAAATGTATTTCTGTTTTTTTCTTTTTACATATTTTGTTATAAGGCCAAATAAGGAATTCATACAAAAAAAAAAAAAAAAAAA